AATAACGAATGTACTGTAATAAAAATCTGATGCGTTTTTATTCACTTATTAATAACGAGAGTTGTAACCCTAAAAAAAATAAAATTTTTATTTTATTTTTAAAACTATATCAATATAGATGTCTATTCATAGAGAATGTACTATAATGATTAACAGAATTTAAGGAAACATGTTTTGTTGGAAAACACATGTGTATCCGTTACCCATTTTCGCCGGTACGCCAAAGTGTTTTGCGTTAAAATAAATGTGTGACTGAGATGATTCCCTCATTCTCAACCTTTTTTTTCTTAATTAAATCCTCCTCTATATATATATATATATATATATATATATATATATATATATATTATATATATATATATATATATAAATGTTCATTTGAGATCATGCTAATTTTGTGAGATATGGGGACGCGATTCTAGCCACTCAACTTGGAGATCAAAAAAATAAAAAATAAAAATTATACAATGCAAAATAATAAGAAAAATCCAAAAATTCTTTTTTTAAAAAATATTATTTTCGTTATTTAATTTATCCCAAAAAAAAAATCACCGTTTTTTTTCGAAATATGAGTGAAATATTCTAATAGAATATTACACTGTAAATAATCAAATCTAACTTTTAGAATGTTAGAATATATTCTAATATTCTATTAAAATTGGTGGATATGTTAAAATATTCTAATATTCTACTTTAATTTTTAGATTTGTTAGTGTTGGAATCCTAAGTCGATGAGGAGTTGGAGACCAAACAATCTAATTTATGGAAAGTCTAGTTTATGGCAAGTTGGTCATAAGTTTCCTAGTCTAATACAAGTTGGTTTGTTAGGATATATATACATGTTCATAATTGAGTTTATGATTATGAGAATAGATTGTAAAACATCGGTTTTGAGTTAGTTTCCGATTAATCAAAGAGTTATTTTGTTTCCGATTAATCAAAGAGTTATTTTGGTTATTTTTGTTTTGCATTCTTGTTTTCTACACTTTAATTGGTATCAGAGCACATTAGAAAGAAATCTTGCGACATAAACAAGGAAGGAAGGGATCGACATAAATCCTTTGTCGATTTGATCAATCACTGTCGATCAATTCAAGTTTCCAATCTCACTGATTGGTCGATTCTGATTTGAATTGTTTTTGGTTTCTGTCAATCATCGTATCTGATTTCAATTGGTAGTTCAAATCAATCAATTGAGAATCGATTGAAGTGAATTCAAGTTACTGATTTCTTAATCGATCAATCACTGTTTGATCGTATCTACATTCACGCTTCCAAGTAATCGGTTGAAGTGGTAATCGATAGAACAAGCGGTCAAAAGGCTGTTATCGACAAAAAGGATTAAATACGTTCACGCCTTCATTAAATCATGACATCATCAATCAACTACGCTTTTGTTCATCAAGATTACAATCAGACGATTTCTTCCGGTCAATTGAAAGCTCCGATCAAATTGTTATCGAGTGAATTCATGATTGATTTGCAATTGACTCTTAATCATCTTTATACTTAATCGTTTGTTTGATTGTGTTCAAGTCGTGAACAGAGTTCACACCGTGAACAGTAAAATCGTGAACAGTAACTTCATAGAATTCTTATTTTTCTCGATCAATTGCCACCTGTTTGTTCTACTTTTAGAACAATCAATCTTGGTTTCTATTAACCTTCTCTGATTTCGAGTTCTTTTTTTCTGATTTGAGTAATCACCATGTCGGGTGAGTCCTCGAATTCGGCACCACCAAAGGAAATCGGAGCAACCTCCGTTCATTGTCCGATGTTGAAAGCTACAAATTACACAGTTTGGGCTATAAGGATGAAGGTTGTTCTAAGAATTCACAAAGCATGGACTGTAATCGATCCAGGAACAGAGAAGAACGAAGAGAAAGATTACCTGGCATTGGGGCTATTATATCAGGCGATCCCGGAGACTTTGATTATGCAAATCGGAGATGTGGAGTCCTCAAAGGTGTTGTGGGACGCAATCAAATCCAGGAACGTGGGTGCAGACCGCGTGAAGGAGGCTAGGTTACAAACCTTGATGGCAGAATTCGACCGATTAAAGATGTCCGACTCAGAATCGATTGACGATTTTGCGGGGAGATTGTCCGGATTAGCCACAAAATCGGCAACCCTAAGAGAAGTAAATTATCAGACGAAGCTTGTGAAGAAGTTTCTCAAATCATTATCGAGATCGAAGTTCATCCACATAGTTGCTTCTTTGGAACAAGTCTTGGATATCAAATCGGTTGGATTTGAAGATGTTGTGGGAAGGCTTAAATCTTATGAAGAAAGGATTAGAGAAGAGGGTGATGACGGAGGAGAAGAACCAAAGGTTTTGTCATCATCGAGCAGTCGCGACACTGGTTCAGGTGGTGGCGATGGCTTGTCTGGTGGAGCGAAGGAAAGATCGACAAAGGGAAAAGGGGTGTCGAATGGTAATCATGGATCCGGTGGGTTATCTGGGTCAGATGGATCAGGCGGGCCCAAAGGGAATAATAAGGTTTCTCAAAGTGGTAATCAGCCCAATCACCACAAGTCCAATTCTGATATAACTCAACGCAATTCCAACAATTGCAAAAAATGTAATTTTTGTTGTGACAAAAATCGAAAAAATAGGGAAAAAGACCGATCTAAGGTGATTTGTTTTCGGTGTGACAAACCGGATCACTTTGCCTCTGAATGTCCGGAACGACTCCAAAAATTACAAGAAGGTGATTTTTCGGAATGTGACGACAACGACGAGCCCGTATTTTAAATACATATCGGGTTGAAGAAGTCTCTAGAAGGACTTAGAGATTTGGGGGTGATTGTTGGAATCCTAAGTCGATGAAGACTTGGAGACCAAGCAATCTAATTTATGGAAAGTCTAGTTTATGACAAGTTGGTCATAAGTTTCCTAGTATAATACATGTTGGTTTGTTAGGCTATATATACATGTCCATAATCAAGTTTATGATTATGAGAATAGATTGTAAAACATCGGTTTTGAGTTAGTTTCCGATTAATCAAAGAGTTATTTTGTTTCCGATTAATCAAAGAGTTATTTTTGTTATTTTTGTTTTGCATTCTTGTTTTCTAAACTTTAGTTAAAATTTCTAATATTCTATTAGAATTTTTTGAATATTTATAGTTTAATATTCTAGTAGAATATTCTAACATTCTAAAAATTCGATTTGAATATTTATAGTATAACATTCTATTAGACTATTTCACGTATTTTTTGAAAAAAACGGTAATTTTTTTATTATTTTTGGATAAAAAAATATGAAAAAAATAATATTTCAAAAAAAATTCGAAAATTTTCATTTATTTTGCATTTTAAAAATATTTTTTTTATCTCCAAAATGAATGGCTAGTATTGCGTCTCCACGTCTCACAAAATATGATGGTCTATATATATATATATATATATATATATATATATATATATATATTATATATATATATTAGGGATGAGCTTTAGAACCGGACCGATTCGGAACCGGAACCGGTGTTCCTATATTATAAGAACTGGAAACCGGACCGCCGGTTCTAGCGTCGGTTCCGGTCCCGGTTTTTCGGTTATTTTTCAAACTACAACCGGTTGAAATATCATAAATGATATGTTATCTTTCGGAGCCTGCAAATGATTCAATATTTAACCAAATTATGACTTTTTACATTCTAAATTGAAGTACAAATACATGATGAAAAAAAAATAAAGTAATTCCGACTTCATATGAGTGAGTTATGCGTATTTTAAAAGTGGGATAGATTCCAAAAAAAATGCTGAAACAGAAAATACGCAACATTGATATGTTGTCTTCCGGGGTCTATAACTGATTCAGTATCTAACCAAAATATGTGTTTTTATAGTCTAAAATGAAGTACAAACACCAAATTACATGCTCGAAAAAAAAATTAAGTAATTCCAAGGTCATATGAATGAGTTATGCACATTTAAAAAAACGGTACACATTCAAAAAAACAAAACAAAATGCTGAAATAGAAAAAACGCAACATCCATATTCTTTCTTTCGAGGCATGTGTCTGATTCAATATCTAACTAAATATGTTTGTACAGTTAAAAATGAATTACAAACTCCAAATTACATGTTGGAAAAAAAATCAAGTCATTCCGACTTTATATGAGTGAGTTATACGCATTTTAAAAAACGGAAAAAATGTGAAACCGGTTCCGATTTTCATAAAAATGAAGAACCAGTAACCGGACCTTATTACCAATTCCGGTTCCAGTTTCGGTTCCGTCGGTTCTAATGTTCATCTATAATATATATATATATATATATATATATATATATATATATATATATATATATATATATATATATATATATATTTGGAGTTGTTTTCTTCACAAATAAAAATGAAAAGAAATCCTTAAATTATCGTTAAATTGCAAAAACAAACACGTAAGTGTAGTTAGATATTTGTACTTCCAATTCCTTGTATGTGGTTATACTTTAGTACTTTAAATTCCAATTCCTTGGGTGTAGATGTAGTGATACTTTAGTACTTTCGGATAGTTGGTATTTTGGATGACCTTAGCCACAAAAAATCACTTTTTAGTCTTAGGAGACAACTAGGACGAGCCAAGGACGGTATTCTACTATCATCTAACGTATCCCAAAATGTCTCGACCACTCATTCAACAAAATAGTCCTTAAAACTGTCTAAAATGGAAAAAGACTATTACGAAATTTATGTGGTTTCTATACAACACTCAATGGCATCCTCATATTTTATGGTACTAAAGACATATCTGGATTTACTATAACTAATCACATGATGTTGCTACTAAACATTCCACACCTAACATAACTAGACCTCTATCTACTTCTTTTGGACTATAAATACAATACATATTCCTTTTACAGTAATACCATATTATCACAAATCATTTTAGTCAAGAATCATCATTGACTCATCGTGTTTGAAGATCTTCAATTCCCACGTTTTTGTAGATTGAGACAACTTTCTTGATAGTAATATTCTTCGTTATGACACCTAAGAAGATGATGAAAATGGCAAGGAGATGGCAAAAGGAGGCTTTAAAAAGTGGTTCTCACGACTTGGAAACAAACAAGGGTCACTTTGTCGCTTACACTACTGACAATAGTCGTTTTGTTATGCCTTTGCATTATCTAGAGAACAATGTTTTCTTGGAGCTTTTAAGGATGTCCGAGGATGAGTTTGGGCTACCAAGGAATGGGCCTATCACTCTGGCTTGCGATTCCATCCTTATGAAATACTTGGTTGCCGTTTTTGAACGTGGTTTCAATGAAGATTTGGAGAAGGCTTTGATAGTTTCTGTTGTTTAGTTGTCGATGTTCATTAGATCTATCACTGAGGATCAAATGATTAGTTAGTTCCTTATTCTAACTTGATAAGATTCAAAGTTATTGTGCATAGTAACCAAGATAACATAATGTTTATAAGTTTGTGCAGGTCACACAATGAAGTTCATCAATTTCCATATATGTTTGTTGTTCAAGTGTTGCAATTTTTTGTAATAATTTTAAACACTTACTTTAAGTATGGTTTTTTTCATCTCTATAAATTGTCTATAAATTGTTAGACTTAAAAGAATCTTCGACCCGTGAAAGTTCTAAACCGGGTTATATGGTATAGTTAGGCGTACATGTTGAGTTGATGACTACTACTTGTAAAGGTTAGCTTTACTACAAACAGTCAGGTATACATGTTGAATTATCGTAGAATCTTAAACAAATAACATTGGGCTAACAGTTTAGATACAATTTGATCGATTTACGAAACGTGTAACCAAAATAGCTTGTTTCATAACATTTCAACTTTGACCAAAAAATGTATATTTTAAGCATAAAATGGGTTTTCCAGTCCTATCATATATTAATAACATCAAATATAAACACGTACCTTCAATATTGAATAATAATAGTATATCTTATTTTCTTATCACGAAAACAGATGTTATTATGTCGACGGGATTTGTAAAAGTAAAATTTGAGTTTCACACTTACCCAGAATAATTCACAAAAAAGAGTCGGTGGCACACTGACACCCAAAAGACATTGTTTCTTGTTTCCCATTAACGCCACCCACCTGCTTGTCTAAATCCTTTTAAATCCTTCATAAATTCTCAATATTCCCTTATATTAAATCCAAATATTATAAAATTAAAACATTTCTCGACTCTTTTTTCTCATTGTTATTGAAAATAGTTCAAAATGGATTAAAAATGATATAAGGCAAGCGATGTATGTTTTCTTTTGATATTTTGGAAATTACTTCAAAAAAACTAAAATAATAATTATTTTTTGATAGAAAGAAAATATCAAAAATCTTTTCCTACATTCCCAAGACAAATCCATGTTCACCGACATTGTTGAAAATATATTATAAAATAAGAGAAGAGTAAACTTAAACTGTCAAAAATCTATATAAACCCTTATACTTACACAGATACACATATCACACCTACATAGTAAAAACAATGGCGATCTTTCTCTACTTTCTCTTTACTCTTCCCGTAATTGCCTCTACAAATGCTTGTGATAGATGTCTGCATCAAACTAAAGCACTTCTCTTCTCCAATGCATCTGCTCTTTCATGTACCATTTCTCTATTCATTTTTTTTTTTTTGGAAAATTTTAATTTTGAGATTGACCATGTTATTATTTCTTGATTTATTTAATTTACTGGGTAATAACTATTTTCGAAAAAAAATGTAGATGGAGCATGTGGGTATGGTTCATCTGCTCCAAGCTTCTACAATGGCCATCTTGCTGCTGCTGTTCCCAACATCTACAAATTCGGGTCGGGTTGTGGTGCTTGTTTCCAGGTACAGATTTACACATTTTGACCTTGATGTTTAATTGTTTGTTCATTTTTGGTTATGAATGTGTGGTCATGTATGTCGTTTTGCAGGTCAGATGCATGGATGCTAAGTTGTGCTCAAAAGTTGGAACTCAAGTGATAGTGACTGATCTGAATAGCAACACACAGACAGATTTGGTGTTGAGCAGCAGAGCTTTAATGGCTATGGCGAATAAGGGTATGGAGCAAAAGCTATTGAAACTTGGTGCTGCCAACGTGGAATATAAAAGGTATATCGAATCAAAATAAACGAATTTTGTATTTCATTATCGAAAAGTAGTATTAATTTACAATTACTTTGTGTGTAGAGTACCTTGTGATTACAAAGGCAAAAATCTGGCGTTGAGGGTGGAAGAATCAAGCCGGAAGCCCCATTATCTTGCCATCAAGTTCTTATTTCAAGGTGGCCAAACTGAGATCGTATCCGTTGATGTTGCCCAGGTAAATCTTTGTTGATGTTGTTACGATAATCCAACGTAATTGTTGTAAAAAACTTACATGACACGTTGTGTTTCAGGTTGGATTGTCGAATTGGGGTTTTTTGAGCAGAAAGTCAGGGGCAATTTGGGAGACGAGTAGAGTTCCGGCAGGGGCGTTGCAGTTCCGGTTGGCGGTGACGTCTGGATATGATCGGAAGGCGATTTGGGCCAAGAGTGTGCTTCCGGCCGACTGGAATGTTGGAGTCGTGTATGATTCCGGCGTACAAATTGACGACGTTGCTGAAGAAGGTTGTGGTCGATGTGATTAGATTTTGTATTAAGTTTCCGATTGATTTTACGTTTGGACAATATTCAATGGAACCCGTAGTTTGTATTATGTTGTAGACTAGTATTTATCATTACAAATTATGTATGTATTATTATTAAATATAAAATCGGAAGAAAAAAATACTGAACCATATCTTGAGGAATATTTTGGCAAGTTGCAAAATTCCAAAATATGCATTCCTCTTTTAAACTTGTCTGTAAGGATTTCAAAAAAGGTTGATTTCTCACGACTACAACTATTGATGTCCCTAATCTATACCATTGGATGTTTACCCAACTGAGTGGCCCAAGTGTATAACAAGCTTGGCCAGGTCCATTTAGTCTAATCACATGGTGACATTCCCAAATGAACACGTCTTATGACGTCTCATCACTTACTCTTGAGTCTTGAGGCAGCAAGCATAACGATTAGCTTTTAATCAAACTAACTTAGTATTGGTTTTTGTTAGAAAAAAAGTGTAATTAGTGTTAGAAAAACGGGGTATTGACTTGCTTGGATCAATGAGAGTTGTGAAAACACTTTCAGATCAAAACATTTCGAGAGTACACTCGAAAATCTCAAATCGGATAAAACTCACTGTTTTCTAGAAGAAAGAATGCAGCAGATGTTGCGAAAAAGTATGTATCAAACTGATTTCGAATATGATCATATATCAGGAAACCAACTTCCTCTCTTAAAACTGCTATATACCAGTTATATGAATCTAACTTCCTGCCCCTTGGACCCCGTTAGGGGCTGCCCCCTCTTGGACCCCGCTCCCAGGGGCGCTGCCATCGGACCCCCGTCAGTTCTGGGGTTTTGTCTCTAAATAGCAATATACTTTCAACTAAGACAAACTTAAACAAACGTACACTCCGCACCACCCAAACTTGTTTAATATTTATCAAAGTAATGTTGATCAACAAATAATCTCATTATACTTAAATAATATTAGTGATACAACATCACCAACAATTAGTATCAAAATAAACTTAGATATTTATGAGATTATATATATATATATATATATATATATATATATATATATATATATATATATATATATATATATATATATACAGGGGCGAAACACAAGCACTACAACTAGGGGGGCCGGAATCAAAACTTCATAATTGAAATATGTAAAGACGTTTTATTTATTTCAAAATTATGACGTATCAAAAGTGTAAACAAGAAAACTAATAGATCGTTACATCATTTATCAAAGTGGAACGCGACGATCTTTTGCATTTTTAAAGTCTTCTATAACCGTCTCTAAACTAATCTTTTCAGCAAGTTCCCGCTCGAAGTGCAAAACCAATGAGTCATTCAAAAACTCATCTTCCATTTTGTTCCGTAACCTTGTTTTAATGAGGTTCATTGCTGAAAATGACCTCTCCGTTGTAGCAGTAGAAACTGGAAGTGTAAGTATGAGACTAGCTACTTGATAAATAAGATGAAAGTTCGCTACTCTCCTAGTCTATCAACCATTGGCACAATTCTGACATACATGTCAATAGTTTATAATCTGCATGTTGAACAACATCAATCTCATAATGTTGAAGTTGTATTTTCAAAACTACTTTCTCTTGTTCATTGAAATCTTCAGGATAAAACTTCTCTACTAACTTAATTACATCACCACTTCGAAAAGGCTCATCAACACTTTTAGGATCTAAACTTGTTGAAAGTCGAAGCAACTCTGTTGATCTATCACTGAATCGATGATTTAGTTCCATTAACTGACAATTAATTGCTTCGTAAAATATATCCACTCGGTAATGATGTTCTAGTGTATGATCACTAAGCTCATTACGCGCTCGGGCCCCTCTAGTAAAGTATGGAGAAGTCATATCAGGGATATCAATGTTGCGTTCTTGACAAAACGACATAACAAGAGACAACAAACCATCCCATCTTTCATCTTTCATTTTTTGCAACAACAATTTGGTGGATGCAACTAACCTCAATGCATTACAAATATCTTGAGATTGTCTTTGTAAAGCTTGACAAAGTAAATCAGTGATCGCCATTATTAATTGCTCGAGATGAAGAACAAAAATGAACTCAAATGTAGTAATAGACTCATATGCTGAATATGCGTCGCCTTTGATTGGACCAGTGCCATCCTTAATAATTTTAAGTAAAACCTCACAAGTTGGACTAAACATTTTGATTAAGCTCGAAACTGATTTGAGGTGAGAACTCCATCGAGTATCACCAGCTCGTTGTAATGTACCAATTTGATTAAGACCTCTACCTGTCTCTAACTCGTCAATAGAAATCTTATATGCAATTTCCTCAGCTCGTGCATCTCTAAGTTGGTCGGTACGCTTGGAGGAAGCACCAACAACATTGATAACAAAAGATAATCGAGTAAAAAACTTTTGTAATGCCACAACTCCTTGTGAAGCAGCCATTAATGCTAATTGGAATCGATGGGCAAAACAATGAACATAATATGCATATGGACAATCATTGGAAATCAATGCTTGCAAACCCTTGAAATGACCTCGCATATTGCTTTCACCATCATACCCTTGACCACGGATTGACTTAAGATCAAGATTATTACGTGACAATACATAATAAATTGCATTTTTAAGAGTTTGTGATGTAGTGTCGGGTACATGAACAAGCCCAAAGAAATGCTCCAGAATAAAGCCATCTTTATTTAAAAATCTCAAAACAATTGACATTTGTTCTTTATTAGACTGGTCACGTGCTTCATCTACAACTAAACAAAATTTTCCACCATTAATCTCCTCACAAATCATCCTCCTCACCCTAGTTGATATAAGTTTTAGAATCTCTTTTTGAATTGACGGTGATGTATATAATGCATGTTTAGGAGCAGTACGGAACAATTCTTTCATCTCTATGTTAAAATAGCCAATTCCCTTCAAGATTTCGCTAAAATTTCCTTTGTTTATGGAATCTGATCCTTCATCGTGACCTCTATATGCAATTCCTTGAAAGGCACACAAACGGACTGTATAAATAGTAGCCTTCAATCTCAATCTATTATTTTTACGCTCTTCTTCTGTAAATGTCTCAAAGACATTTCGTATATCATGCGCCTCATTTAACAAATCATCACATGATATTTGTGAAACATTGTGAAAAGATGTGCACTCAGTCCCTATGTGATGCAAAAAGGCACAACTTTTTCCACCAACTTTCTTCCAGTTCTGAAATCCATCTATAGTAAATGCTCGTTGGCCGTAGTGTCCCATTCCAGAAGGCTTATTGAATAGAAAACACAGAAAACAAAACGCAGCATCTAAGCTCTCTAAATATTCAAGCCAAGGATATAACTTAAACCAAGAAGCTTGAAAACTACGTTTATGGGTTTCTGGACCAGATTTTGGATATATACAGAAAGTGTTTGTTGAAAGAGACCATGATTAATATATGCTCGTATAATAGTATCTCGTTGATTTACTGGATAATCATAGATTTGATTACGCAAACCAGGATCTCGTTCTAGTGTACTAAGATCAATGTCATTATTTTCAACACGATTTTTTTTAAGCGGTTCTCAGTAATTGGAACATTGGGCGTAGGGGTATCTTCATCCAAAACAATCTCCGGTGGGTTTTCGGAATCTTGAGTAGAACTTGAGTGTTTTCTTTTAAAAAATCCATCAATAGTAGATTGTTTTTTCATATTCATATAAACTACACAATCAAATTTACTAACAATTAATAAATAGCAATATAAAATAGCAAATAAACAAATGAAGTTTTTTATTTTCAAAAAATAATATAAAGTGCATATAAATTTAATTTGTTTCATATGAATATATGATCATAGCATAACAAGAAATATAAATACACAAATATATATCATCGTTAACAACAAATATACATAATTTCATATACAAATGTATGATAAATATTATATATGCATATCTTCAGTTAACAAATACACATAATTATATATATATATATAATATATATATATATATATATATATATATATATATATATCTTCGTCCAATGCAAATAAAGTAATCAATATAAATGAAATTGTCAGACATTGTGTGTATATGTTGTAATGAGAGTATCATTCCTACTTTATTCAATTTATTCATACTTTATTCAATTTCTACCTTTTCTTTTTGACCAAGTACAAATAATAAATAAATATATAAAGAAACGCAGAGACTGAGAAACATAAAGGCATAAAGCTACTTAAACAAATGGGGAGGGACGAAGTCACGAAGAAGAAGAAGAAAAACCTTATGGAAAGCAGCAGCCGACTGAACACTCAAGCGAACGGCGGTCGACGGAGGTTATATTTCTGCAGTCCTGCTGTCCTGGCTCCGACGACTAGCAAGGATGTGAGAGGGTGTACGGTACAAATGTGGCGGCGACCGGAAAAGAGTACAAGAAATCACCGATTTAAGTCTTAACAGGCGGCGTTCTCCGGTGAGTTTTGAGAAGTAGCTTTTCGATGGCCGGAATAAACTTTGGATTCTTTGTTCACTTTTTCAGTTTAATTTCTTAAACTTAAATCTAGGTTAAATTGTTGTAAATTTGATTAGATTTTGGGGTTTTTATAGATTTTAATAGATATTTAGTTTCCTTATTTTATAAATTCCTAAAGAAACAAGAATTCTTTTGATTTTGTTATTTATCTTCCGAAAATTTTGTTAACAGTTTCCTAATGATCTGGAAACCAGGGGGGCAAAGAGGCCATTCTAGTTATTTTTTTCAACTTGATTGTGTATATACATACATTAGGACAGCCAAAAGCGGGGGGGCCATGGCCTCCCCTGCCCCCTATGAGGGTCCGCCACTGTATATATAGGTAAAGGTTCAAATGAGAACCTCTAAAGGTTAAGAACCCTAAGAACCTCTAAAAAACATTACTTCATCTTTCTAACATAAACATCATCAGACCATTCTTTCACCTGACTTCAAACATATCTTCATCTTTGCTTCTTCCTTCATTAGATTACATCCACCATTTTCACCGTCCTTACCACCAGCGACTTTGCTCCGGCGACTTACCACCTTCGTCTCCTATGTCGACAGCACCACCGCCACCACCATCTCCTCCGCCGACTTCTGCTACCGCCATAAATCACCACCTCCTTCTCCGATCCTCAGTGAATATCCATATCTACATCAGATCTTACTAGATTCACTTCAGAAATCACCATATCTACATCCGATTTCACTAGATCTACATCAGATCTGACTAGATCTGCATCAGATCTCCGATGAAACATCCATACCTAACTATATCACCTTCTATTTGAGATTCCGACATCACCTTCGAACCTTCGGCATGTACCACCTTAAGATGTGTCATCACCATCGTATCTTCACTACCCCTCCAGATCTGCTTCGCCTCCATAATTTTTGTGTCATTGTGTTGTTCATGCTCGTGATTCCAGATTTGATTTCCTTCAGATCTAGTTTAAAACCTTCAGATCTAATTTCCTTCATGATCTCTACATCTAAAACCTTTGAAGCTTTTTTGTTTATTTGATTTTGTTCTCCGTTTTGAAGCATGTTCGCAACTGAAACGCTAGCTGCCACAAGATCTGAAGAAATCTAACAGAGCTCGGGTAAGATTGAGACCAAATCTGAGACCGTCGTCAACCACCACCACTTATGTTGCTTCGCCGCTTTATTAAGCACTGTCAAATATCCTCCATCTATTTATCTCTGATCTCTGGTGAAACATATCAGGTATGTTAATATTTGTTTACTTTTTTTTCTTTTTGTTAAGTTGTGAATTTAATGTTCTAATCTCTCATTTGTTGTTTACTTTTGTTAAACATAGTTTTTTCTATTATTAAGTTGTTAATCCATGTTTATTATGTTTTTTTTATAATGTCTGCATCAAGTTTTTATTCACCCTCTATGTTTTATTGTTGTTAAGCTGTGAATTGAATTTAAAATGTGTGTTATTATGTTAGTGTTTTCTCAAATAATATGAATTTTTATTTTTTTAAGCTTTGAACTGTGATGTTTTAATGTTTCAACTATTATTTAGTTCTATTTAAGTTAGTTACTGTGAATGCATGAATTAATATGTTTTTATGTTATAAATACTATGAATGAGAGTCATAAACTGTGAATAAGAGTTCTGAAAAGCTCTATTAAACTGTGAATTTGTGTGGTGCACACAATGTATTTGATGAATTTTGTATACTAAACTATGAATTGTGTATTTATTATATTAACATATAAATATAAGTTTTAATTTGAAAATATGGTTGTAAATATAAATTTTTTTGTCTTTAATTGTGAATTTGTTATATTAAGTTGTGAATTTTGTATACTAAACTGTGAATTGTGTATTACGTTGTGAATTTTATTCACGACTTAATATATTAAATTCGCAATTTAATACATATAAATGTCTTCATCTATTAACGTATAAATATAAGTTTTAATTTGAAAATATAACTGTGAATATAATTCTTTTTTGTCTTAAATTGTGAATTTATTATATTAAGCTGTGAATTTTGTATATTAAACTGTGAATTGTCTGTATTAAGAGTTTCAAATTGATATTATTGTTGTGAATTTATATTTTTTGTATTAAACTGTAAATTTATTGTAATAAACTGTGAATTAGCTATGATTTTTGTATTTTAAACTTTAAATTAACTGCATTAAGCTGTGGATATTTATTTAAATTGTGAAATTGACTATATTAAACTGTGATATTGTTATATTAAACTGTGATTTTTGTGTTTATAAATGTGAATTGACTGCATTAAACTATGATTTTTCTGTTTAAAATGTGAATTGACTGCATTTTGCTGTGAATTTTTTATAATTTGTGTTAAAATATGAATGATTTATGTATAAATTTTTGTGTTAATTTTCTTATGAATATATTTATTTTTTTGTTGTATAAATTTGTAAGAATCCACTAGTTTTCATAATTCTTTTGCATTAAATTCAAAACGAGTGAATTAATAGGCTTTATTAGACTGTGAATGTAGTATTTAAGTTGTTAATGCATGACTTTATTTACAGATCTGATTTGGAAGAAATGACAGCTACTATGTTGATACAGGTGGTTGGTGGCGACATGTGGTGGTAGAGTTTGGGTTTTTGACTTCTTTGAATTAGTGAATTGTTGTAAAACAGTTTGTATTAAGTTGTGAATTTTTTGCATTAAATTGTAAATGGACTGTGTAAATCTGTATTTTATATAAGTTTTGTGTTAAAATATGAGAACATATACGAATGAAAATATTAGACTGTAAAAAATTATAAGTTTGCTCTTTTCATACCAAAAACACAAAAAATTAGGATTTTAACATGTTTAATAAGAGTATTGTGTAAATATTTACTAATTAATGGGGGTTCTTAATTTTTTATGGTTCTCATTTGAACCACTCCATATATATATTATATATATATATATATATATATATATATATATATATATATATATATATATTCTAAAATACGTAATTTTCTCCCTGTAAACCTAGGGTTACAAGAAATGAGAGATATGGAATGATCCAAGAAATCATCGTTATCCCGATATTAGGCAAAATATGAGATACAAAGTACATAATGTGTGTTTAGTTCTATGTTTTTGAGACAAAAATTTAAACAGAAACACGTAAGTGAAAACTAGTGTTTAGCCAAACTCATAGAGTCATAGAGTCATAGAGATAAGGCAGCGAGCCAATCAAGTTCGACCAAGTTTGCAGGAAAACCGCATATGTTGGCAGTAGACGCGTCATTCGGTTTTTTATGGCAAAAATAATAAACGAGTATGTTTATTATACTATGGATACAATTTCGGGTTAGGGCGATGCCTCACACCCCACAAGGGGAATGCCCCTTTTACCCTATCTGTTGGCCAAGAGCTCTGATCCTTTTTAGAGGCAATGCCCCTTGAAACCCAACTAGGGGTGTTGCCCTCGAATGTCTTCAAACTTCATAATTCTTGAGATCAGATTAGCGTGCATTTTTCATCACCCGAACTTACAACATAGAAAAATCTTGGCTCAAACATGTTTTTGGAATCATAATGGATTTGAATTATGATGAAGGTTGAAATCTTAAAACATCATGGATTTGAATCGTAAATTCTCTTTCTTTGTCTGTGAGCTTCTCATTTGGCCCAACCTAATCCATTTTTACATGTGAACCGTAACACCTAATAGGCTAATAGTAAATAACACATTAGGCATAACACCTAATAGGCTAATAAGAAATAGCACACTAGCCACAACTAAAGGTGCACCAAAAATAGAGATTGTCTGATCCAGATTTTAAAATTTCGATCTGGTTGTAACCAGGTTTGGAGGGTTTTGGATATCAAATAATTTGATTCGGGTTTATCCGGATTTTGTCCAGGAAATGTTGTTCCAATATATATGGATTCGGAAAGTTTAGAACAAGATTTTTTAATTGTTCTTATCTCCAACAATATATTCTCTAAATCTTTTTCCATTTCCACAATCAACGTAACCATATTTGTTCTTATCTTCTCCCAAGCTCCATGAAAAAGATTATTTTTTATAATTAAGAAGAAAAAGAAGCGCTCGAATGATCGAATTCTTCTTCCAAAGATCCCATAATCTTTTGAAGATTCTTAATTCTCTTCTACAATCTTACTAAGACTTACTTTTTCGTACTAATGAACTCTCTGTGTAACATCCCGACTCCCAAGTATAATATTTACATAATTTTCATGATTTTGACTGAGCAACTCGACGAGTTGGAGGCCCCAACTCGTTGAGTAGAGAGGGATTTGGGCCGCGTGGGTTTTACGACCGACTCGACGAGTTGGAGGGACCAACTCGACGAGTTGGCGCTGTGAGAGGAAACCCTAATTCCCCGGGGTTGTGTCCTATTTAAAGGACCTTAAGCCCTCATTTCTGCCTCCCATGTCACCTTACTCCCCTGTGTGAAACCCAAATCGTTTAGATTGATCTAAGAGAGAGAGAGAAGGGCTAACTTTGAGCATTCTAGTGCACTTTTGGAAGAGAAGAGAGGAGTATCAAGGCTTGGAACGAGAAGGGACTATTGGATCCAATGTTTATCCATCCTTAGCTTCTGTTTGAAGGTAAAAGTCACCACCTTGCTCATTATTTTGATTAGATTTCGTGTTTAGGAAGCTTTAGGTCTTTTTCCATCTTTCCTTGAGACTTTGAGTATTTTGAGCTTGCCAAGAGATTGAGACTTCAGATCTGGACCTTGTGAGGTCCCTTAAGCCCAAAGGTCCAAGCTTTATCAAGCTAGAGGAGAGATTTTACGCGTAGGACTCTAAATAGAACTTGTTTTGGCATTTCAAGCCCTAAGTGTCATGCATGGACGTAAAGCTTGCAGCTTTACGTGGTATCTCAGCCTTGGGAGGCTAAATATAGAGTTTGGGGTTGTAACTCTGCCTTAAGACGTCTGAATGAGAAAATAGACTTAAGGGACTCGCCGAGTTGATGAGCCAACTCGACGAGTCGGCTAGGGTTTTCTCCGACGAGTCTGGACATGAGTAACTCGGCGAGTTAAGTTGGATTTTCACAACATTCTGAAGGCACGAGGGGAATCGACGAGTCACATAGATGTACTCGACGAGTTGGGTCAACATGGACTGTTGACTCGAGTGTTGACTTCGGTTGACTTTAGGGTTTGGTCAAGTCAGGGATTATGGAGACCATGGAGGGGTAAAATGGTCTTTTACCCCTCCCAAGAGATTAGAGAGAGAAAATAGCTTGGTTTATTTAGAGTTGTGATTTAAGTGTTAATTAGAGATAATTATCGTATGTGTTAGGCTGAGGCTAGATCGGTGATTCGTGTACGAGGTTTATTTGCTTTCTTCCGAGGTGAGTCTTCTCACTATACTTACCTTGAGTGGTAATTTGTGTGCCCGGAGGGTCTTGTCTGCTATTATTGAGTATTGTGATATCCTGCATTATGTCTTTGTGATTTATGCTGTGTATTATTCTGAGCTTTACTGAGTTAGCACCGGAGGGTCCACCCGAGTTGTGGGACCGGAGGGTTCCACTGAGACACATTGACCGGAGGGTCTTATTCGAGATATAGTCATGAGAGGCTAATGAGATGTGTGTGGTATTTTGGGAACTCACTAAGCTTCGTGCTTACCGTGTTATGTGATATATGTTTCAGGTACTTATCAGGATCGCGGGAAGGCGCCGGC